TTTTGTGTTTTTAGCTATTTTAACTGTTTATTTGCATTTTGTAAGCTGCCCAGAGTCTACTGGAGTGGGTGGCATAACAAATTTAAATAAAATAAAAATAATGTTTTACAATCCCTTTTATTAAAGAGGGAAAAGGAGCACAAAAGAAACAACGTAGTGCCAAGGTATGTCCTTCATATGATATTACATAAGCTTTTCCCCAAAACATTTAAACTAGCCTTTGATCTGAGAGGCACCTTTTCATCACTGGCTCGCAGTTCTCAACTCCGGTTTCCTTATGTGTGGAATAGTTCCACCTGGTCTCATTTCCTCACAGCGACTGGGAAACTTAATTAGGTAATTGCTATAATGCTTTTGGCAGACACGACAAACATAATTAGAAGAGCAGGTGCAAAATGAGCAAGCTCACCCCCAGCATTTTAGCAGAACTGCCAGGAGCCTGCCAGAAGAATTTCACAGCATCAACTCACTTCATTTTGGAAGTCTTCTCAAGTTTTGTAAGCTTGGCTCTCTTCTTCTTTATTTTACTTTAAAGGGGAATGCAAAGGCTTTTTCATCCACCCAACACTAATAGAGCTAGTCAGATTAGTGAAAAAGCATCAAGTGAATGAACATACATTGCTTTGTCCTACAACACCAGAACACCCAACACCTTGTACCAAGTCTGATAGGAAAAAGAAAAAAAAACTTGTCACTTTGCCTGTCACAATTGTTACTTGTCACAATCTCAGATGAGATTGTGAGGAGGCAAAAAAGCCCAGGTCTTGCTTGATTTGAATATAGCACATTTGGGTTCTCCTTTCCCTAATAACATCATATACTTGAATATAGAGCATTTAGGAAAAGCCATGCTACTGAATCTGCACCTAATTATCTCTCATAAAGTTCAGAATAGTTCCCATAAATCTGTATATATATCTATCTAAACAGGAAATACTAGAGTTATGTGGACAAAAGGTCAAAGGGCTTGGCAATTCAAAGAGAGGACAAAAAGTATCTAAGCAAGCATAGCAAAACAACAAAGTGCCTTTTCTGAAATTGAAACTAAAGCAATGGAATAAAAGATTCCGAATAGCAGATTTTTAGAGCTCTGCACTACATTACAAACAATATATGGTTTGTAAGGTGCAAACTACATTGTGGTACAAACTTTGTTTGGGGAATATTTTTGGAAAAGTTTCTTCACACACACAATAGGGCTGCTTTGCCCTTTCTCTGTCTTGTTGCTTGAGATGATCAGAGTTGTAGTCCAATACAAGATTGGGACAAAGATACATGATGTTGATGAACAGCCAGAACAATCCATTGTGCACAATTTCTCAAATCCTTTTCTGGGGAAATGCCTTATACCAAAATGTCTACATCTTACATCTGAAAAGAAAATTCTGAAACCAGAAGACAACAGAAGATAGCTAAAAAAAAAAAAAAAAATGAAGACCTTGGGTTTGCCAAATCCAAGCCAAATATCCTAGCAAAAGCTAATCTATTGTGTGACATCATGTTCTTAGGTTAGCCTAATTTAAAATGGTTGAATATCTGCTTTAACACATAAAGCCAAAATACATTGCTTATTACCGTATTATAAATGTCGTAATAAAATATAAAACTGTCATTGGATATGAATTTTCTCCCTTATCAAAGCTTATTTTTATTCCTCACTCTCTCTTCTTACATAGATAAAAAGTCTTGCTACTTAATTTTTATACAGTATCTGTAGCAAGCTACGATTTCACTGTAAATCTTGACTAAGGTTAAGGCAATAAAAAAAGTAAGCTCTATGTTAGTTGAAGGTGTGAGTATTATATTATAAAAAGAGTTTTGACATGCTCAACTCTTGTTTGTTCAGAAACAACTATGAACCTTCAACACAATAAATACAAAGCCCAATAAAACATGTTCTTATCATCTTCAGATAAGAACATGTTATGTAAAGAAAAACAGTTCAAAGCATAAGCTTATTAATCCATCACAATTTATTATTTCCACTATTTTAGTTTCAGCCAATTTTCACTGCTTGTCATGTAGGTGTAGAACCTCCAGATTTGATACACCATATGACAGGCAACAATACTGAATTAAAGGTAGCATGGGAAAGAAATCTGGGCACCTAGCTGTCCATTCTCATTGGGATTGACACTGTCATGGAACTGTTAGTTTCATACCTACAAAGAGTATATTACCTTAGAAAATGGGTGCAAAATGTGTGGTCCAGGTGACCCAACAACACACTCTCAAAAATTGGTCCTGACTCCATCCTTTCTGGGAATGCAGGCCTCAATATGCTGCACAAACCTCAAGGTGGCCCTCAAGCAGAGGAAAGTTGCACATGCCTAACTAGGAGATCCACAAAAGAACTAGAAGTAGTTCAACCAATAAAGCAAATTAGATTAAAAGTTTGCCTGTTGCTGCATGTATTACCTCTTCAAAGTGAGGGATTCTAGTGGTAGATACTTGTGCTTGGAAAATAGAGGAAAAGTCTTAATATAGCAGGCAAGAAGATCTATATTCAAGTTAATCATCATAGCAAATGAAAATTCTTACCTACAAACCTACTATAAAAATGGCACAATAGTCAAATCGTAAGATACACACTGAGCCATGACTCCTCCTCTTGCTTCAGAGGTAGGGAAAGATCTTAAAATGCACAAAATCTGCTTTGATTTTTGCACATCCACAAGGTTTATTTATTTTAGCCAAGCAGCAAATGAATCAGCTTGGTCATGAGTGTCGTAATTGTTGGCTGACATATGTAAAAGAATGCAATTTTAGGTTTTATCACATACATCAAACATGTATTTATTTTCACTTATTTCTAAATCAAATTTATAGGCCACCCAACCAATAATGGCTCTGGGCAACATACAAGATAAAAACAATCCAATACAATGTAATTCAAAGAAGGAGATAACCTGGAGATTTATGTACCAAATACGCTAATAAAATTCATACAGCACTGCACACTCCCTAACCTAGCATCTGAGGAAAAAGCCAGATCTTCAAGGCCTGTTTAAAAGGCAGCAGGCTTGGGGCAACTCAAACCATGGGGAGATACTGTTCCATAAGGCAGGCACCATGACAGAGAAGATACATCGCCTGGGTCCCATGTCCCTTTTAAAGATGGAACATGGACCACTATCTATCTTGTATGTTTGACAACGGTGAGCCTTACTAGAACCTGACTCCACAAGTTAACTAGAATTATACTTTATTGAGATTAGCTATGGTAAGAGAATCTTGCAATTCTGCCTGTGTTTTCCCTTCCCTTCCTCTTATAACCTAGGGAGTCAGGGGGGAAGCCAGTCTGAGTATCTTTCTAATACTTTCCCACCCCCCTGGGCTTAATACATGCTTTTTCTGCACTTGTTGCTGTCCTAACAGTTTCTGGATGCCTTCTCCAAGGTTAATTCCATGGCTCCCTATCCCCACAACCATTCTGTCAGATTTTACTGGATGGGCAGAAACATCGGGAGAAGGAGATCTCTCAGATGCCCAGGTTATCGGACATAACCCCATGTCATGGTTAAGAAAGCATTAATCTATGATTTTATGTAATATTTACACTGATAAATCATGCTTTGAGATTGAAACTGATTGAATAAATTGTAATAACATCATGGAACAGCATCATGATTGGATTTACAATTCATAGTTGCCTCACCTTGAGAGGCTATAACATCTAGTAACTAAAATACTGAGCAGATAGAAGAAATAAGGCAACTTCTTCTAAACTTGTACATTTAGAAGCACAAACTATGGTTTCATAGAGTCTGACTTGAACCATCGAGGGTATCACTGGATGAACAATTGTCAGGTTATCAAACATTTAAATGGTACAAGTAAGTAATTAAGTTATTTATGTATAGGAAAGGAAAGCTGGTAATAAGTGCTTCAGAATACAGACTCTTGGACACCCCTCCAAACAAAAACCCACTAGCTACCTCTGCAAACCTTCTGACCTTCCAACCAAAATGTATTGTACATGACTTTAATACTTGTATTGGTTAACATGGTAAATGCATCTTTATATCATGGAGTAGTACCAATTAGAGGTAAATGGCATGGTGAAGAAGGCCAATAATCTGAAATTAAATCCTGACAAGTTGGAGATCTGGTGGATCAGTGGTTCCTATGTACAAGATTTGGGGAATCAAAATGTTTTGTTGGACATACGCAAGTTATCAGAAGTAGATCTAATCTACTTTCCTTCAGAAGGAATTTCATTAACTAGGCTGCTAAAGCAATAATACTAGTTCTTTTGACCTGAATTTCTTCAATGGTGGAACATTCAAAAGTGACACAGAAAAATGTTAATATAATATAAAGTTCCTAAGGTGAAGGGAAGTTTTAACGTATTTTGGTTCTAAAGCTTAATAAACAGCAGTACCTTGGATCAGATGGTTTTATCTTTACGTCAGTAACTCTATAGATAACATTTTATTAAAATATAATAATCTGCTAAGCTATCCTGAGTTGCAACAACTTGCATTGAGCTAGTAGAGCCCTCTTATTACTGAAGAGATATATCTACTCTAGCAGTGGGAGATGATGTGGGTAAGATCCATTCTGCAAACAAAATCCAGTTTGTTGCTGTCAAATAAACACCAAGCAGTTCATGTTTAACTGACTAGAGTTCCAGGATAGAATTTAGTACATACATTGAATGAAGACATCCAGGTCAAATCTTAGGCATGTATAGCTAGAAATTTTCTGGCACCAATGGACAGGAAAGATCTTTGGCTGACCCACCCAGGGCTACTACCAGTCACAGTAGACACCACTGGACTAGACAAGGGACACTGCACAATGGGAGAGCACATATTTTGAAGTTCATTCCCTGGTATTTCCAGATAGATTAGTGGGGGGGGGGACTGTCTGAAAGCTTGCCACAATTAACAATAAGGACAAGATGGACAGAACTGCTATGATAAGTGTAGATGAATCAAGAATCTGTCTAGTATAGGGAATATACAAAAGTAAATATAACATAAAATAGTTCAAACCTTGGCATATAAGATCTCTCATCCGTGTGAACAGCACCTGCTAGAGGTCTTCCCAAACTCCCGCTAAGGGACTGAAAAAAAAAACAGCATTCATTTTAAAAAATGTAAATGTAAATATAAACTAACATTTATATATACTGAAATGTGCTTAATGTAACAAGCAATTCAAATGGTTGTTTTAAAGATTATGACTGCAGAGCCTCATTCAAAAAACTGTGACACCATTTATCCTTCCCATACCACGCACAAATAAAGATACAGCATGTGTCCCAATACAAAATATATGCAATTTCAAGGAACTGAATTTAGGCAATTAGAAAATTTAAAATGCCCATCTATTTTGGCTTCTGGTACTTATTAAACTCAGTGCTCCACTAGATCACAGCACCTAGTGGACCATGGATAATTCTGAAAAATAAAACAAGCTCAGACATGGTTAGTACGTGGATGGGAGACCATCAGGAATGATCAGGGCTGTAGGCTAAATTGAGACCTTATGAATAACAGAAATGGGTAGGGCAACAGCAAACCATTTCTAAATTATTGCCAAGGGAATTATCTGGATGTATCCATGTAGTTACTGGGAGATGATCTGAAGGAAGCTCAACAACTATTTGGAAACTGGAAATCATATTACTGAAGTAAGGCTTACAAGAGCGATATTATTGTATATTGTAACTCCAATAAAAAAAAATGCACCTGAACGTAAATTATTATCAGAATATCCACATATTTCATGTTATACCAGCCGATAAAATGGTACACAAATTCCAGCATGAAAAGTTTTGTTTTGCTTATTCCAAACACATTTCATTTCTCCAAATCATGGGGCAGAGGAATGGCAAAGCCAACCTAAACAATTTGATCTTATCTACAGAAGCCTATCTCTTCCCGCTGTTACATTCTTATGCTTTGCTGGTTGCTAAACAGGACAATATTGCCTATAAAGCATCACATTCTACTGGATACCCAATACTAGAAAAAGGTAAAATCTATGCATGAACTGTTTGATAAAAATATTAATTTTCTACAAAATCTATCTTTAAAACATTTTAAGAAATTGTATTTTCCTGAGGGAAAGATCACATCACCCCACCACCAGTAATTTACATTTAAAATTGGATTTTAAACAGAAGTATGCTTCTTACACAAAATACAAACTACTCAGCTAATTCTGTTGAAGTGTAGAGATCTCTAAGTTGTCCCTCTTATACAGTTCTCTCTCTTCAAAAATTCGCTCTCTACAAAAGAAATGGTTCAAAAGCATGCAGCAGCACATGCCAAGCAAATCATTAAAGCAGCCATGTTGTTTTACAAACTAACAGGGTTACTTTGGAAAGTGCTAACAGCTGCTTCCACATGCATGTTCATACATAGCTGCTTAGCTGGGACACAAATGGACACAGCTGGGGGCAACTTCTGAAGCAGATGCATGAGTCTGGAAAAAAATGCAGCTGCTTTAACATTTAAAGAGAGGTGCTTCATACATGTTCCTGGTGATCTGAAGAACCTTTTTCAAAGGCTATGCGCAGCCATTAACCAACCCCTGTAATTTGCTATCAGTGCAGTTCTAGTTTACTCCTTTTTCCTCAGGCAGAATGGGGCAAAAGATTCTCATGGGAAACCAGAGGAAACATATCTTAGTAATGGTTTCACTGTACACACAACAGACATAAAATTGCTAGTATTGTTATTGGAGTCGATTAGAATGGATGCACATTAACTTGAGATCTTACTGGTGTGACTGGATCAACTCTGCCCAGGTAAAAGTGCGTATTACATTTAGCCTTCCATCAGTTGCAAGGACAGCAAGCTTGCTCACAGTTCTTAAAATGAATCCTCTATACCTCTTTATTTGGCAGTGCTAAACACTAGTTAAGAGAGTGTCAGTAACATAAATATATACTTGCAAAGTTCCCCATATAAGGAGATCTCCTAAGATTTAAATACTTTTAACCTTCTGTCTTCTATTTTAGTTCTGAAGACCTACAAAGTGAATTTAGGCAAAGACATCCCCTGTTTTCCTTACTTCCAAAGAGGTTCTCCTTATTTCAAATGCAACACATTCTATTTTGTTGTGCCAACCTGTGAGACAACTAATATTTCAGCATTCTTTATTCCACACTATCACAGAAATGCTTATGAGCTAAAATTAGTAAGTTTTACTCACAGCCTGAAAAGCAGCACAGAATGTCTCCATTGAGAGATGACAGCCCATTAGAGGAACTGTGAGAGACCTGGCTCCAGGCCCAAGGGAGTCTTTTAGGGACAAGGTTACTGAGGAGGGAGTTCATCCTGAGTAGGCTTTGTCTTAAGTAGCCACAGACCAGCTGGCTTGACCTTGGCCAAACAGCAAGGCTAGAAATTATTCCTTAGAATGTATGTTTTGGACTGTTTTAGAATTCTTCATAGGGCTATATCCAGGATTGAATGTAGCACTTCAAAAATCTACTGCCTGGGAATGCAGGTTTTGTAAATGTATAGGCACAAAGTCTGTGGAAAACTCTGGCTGTGCTTTAAGGAACCAGCATCTCTTGATTTACAAAGCTTACCATTCTTGTGAACTGAATAAGAGAAGGACAATGAAAAATGGGGATGGAAAGATTATGCTTCATCCAACATAAATGGCATTATAGTAAGCACAGGGGCAAGAATGATGTTCACTCCCTGTTCCATTCAGTCTCCTTGTCCTTTATTTGGTAAAACAAGACCTTCATAAAAGCAAGGCACCTCACTTTAATACTTTGCTTTCACTCTGCTAGCAATTCCAGCAGTGCATGCCAGTTCAGGACAATGAACCATTCATCCACTTCAGGTATATAATATGTAACAAATGTTTGTCCTAGTAATTGATTAAGGTATGGAACAACTGCATACCACAGCATCAGTGGGCCTCTCATTTTTCTGCAGATGTAAAATGTGGGAGAGTGAAGGAAGCTGCTTTAATCTGCATCACAGAGAGACATGCTACCAAGTTAGACCAAATTCAATCCAGCTTGCTTAGGGCTAAAATAAAGCACCCTTCAGTTTAAAACTACAGGACATCCTCTCATTCTTTCCTTATAGACTACAAGTACCAATGTAGAGGAGAACATTTTAACTAGATGGAACACATGTCCAAAATTGATGAAATGTAAAGGGATCCTTCTTGGGCATATTTTCAACGGCTATCGTGAAGCAGAACTGCATTCGTACACACAACTATATGGTCAAGTGTTATATATATAATACCCGTTTATGCACCTCCCAAAGCATTGACATAGGAACTATGATCAAAACCACTGAAACTAAAAAAGGCTTGCCATTGCATCAATCCTAGGTTGCAATGTAGATGCAGCAAAGAATACAGTTTGGCTGAAGTTAATGTTTGCCAACATTGGCAGAAAGAGCACTGACAGATGTATACTAAGAAATCCTTTTCTAGTTCAAATCTCCAGTTGTGCATTTCTGGAAAAAATATACTTTTTTCCCCTAACACTCCCAAATATTTGCATAGCAATTTGATAAATAAACCCATACTTTGGGAGAAAATGACAGGCTTTATTATCTTTACCAAAATGTGCTCCTAGCAAAGTAACAGATGGGGCAAGCTGGGCGGAGGGAGGGATGTTCCTAGAAGAAAATACTCTTCTTCTAGGATGATCTTCCATACATCCATACTCTCCTTTTGCCATTCAAACTGGCATCTCCTCAATGAAAATTCGTGTGCACAATATGGACTTACTGTTATTGCATCTAGTTTGGCTCTGAGAGTCATAATATTTTAACATTTGCCATTAAGGTCAGAGTTAAATATTAGCAAAACTAAGTCATTCTGAGTTAAATCCAGAACTGTTATGGAATAGATCTTTGTGAACTGGGGATTTTGGAAGACAAAGCAAAGCAAGTAGTGTTCATTTATTCTTCCTCCAATCTTCCATTCCATGACAATCTCCTCTGAAATTTGGGAATCCTCTAAAATAGTATTGGAAGTGGCTCAAGGGAGCACCCACTGGATCTAATTCACTTCCTGCAAAGAAGCAACCCACCTGAGCATAAAACGTCTGACCTGCTCAAGCCCGTAGTGTCAACCCTTTGAGGTAGGCCAGGCCAGAAAACAGACAACACAAGAAATACTGGAACTTTACTGATATAGGCCACCCTTTCCCAACCATATTATCCTGGAGGAATCCTTTAAATAATCTCAGGGAACCCCTACATAAAAACTGCAAAAAATATGAAAACTTCACAATACAATTTACTTCTAACCTATACATTCCACATTTTACAACATTTATAACAGCAAAGCAGCAGGCTGGCAGCTGAAGCACGGCATGTAAAAATTCCCAGCATGTGCTAGCATTGTGCAACATGTGAAGTTTAAAAAAAAAACTATTTTTTTTCCAGTCACGATTTCTTGCAGTAGTAAGAAGATCTAGTAATCTTGGGTAGAACCCCAGTTGAGAAAGACTGATATAGGCTCTAATAATACAATCCCTCCCTCCTGTTCCAAAGAGAGTCAAGGTAGTGTAATCTTAAGTTTCTTTCTCACACTTTCTGGTTTTCCTGAGCTAAGCTCTAGTTTTACTAATGGTTGCCATGTACAATGGTACCTCTAGTTACGAACTTAATCCGGCTAAACAGTTCTGAAACATAT